GCTGTAACAGCTCAGGAATGAGGCCCATATCCCACAAAGCCAGGCAAGGTAGGAGATCCACCTCTGAGCTCTGCCTGGGTGGAAAGAGCCAGACCTGCCTCTGCCCCACCCTGGTATGGCCACCAGGGCCCAGGTGCCGCCAAGGTGACCCAGCTGGCATGGGGGCAGCCGGCAGGCTCCAGCAGTAAGACTGAGCCCAGAGGTGACCGGAGGGCCGGGGATGCAGGACAGGTGATGGGGCCTGGCGGCTGCACAGGTAGGACAAGCACGGCAGGTAGGGGCCCTGCTGGACTGTTTCGCAGCCAGGGTAGAGGGCCCAGGCTGGCAGGCCCGGGCCTGCCAGCACAGAGGTAGGCTGGCCACACCCCCAAGCCTAGACTTTGCCCTCAGTCACACTGGAACAAGTGGACCAGAGTCCCTGATGCCAGGCTGGGTGCTGGGGCTGCAAGGGGCTGGGTAGGGGCAGGGGCTGGGTGGGACTGCACCCCCACGCCAACTCAGCCGACAAAGCCTGCTAGCCAGAGCCTGCCCCAGCTTGAGCAAGGCAGCCCCATGCGCTGCTGCTTCCCCGCTGGGGGCAGACACCCCATCCCAAGGCCCAGCCAGCTCTGGGCCAGAAAGGTTCATGTTCCAGAGCAGAGCCCCCGCTGCTGCAGTAGAGTTTTGACACTTGTTTATTGTGGTTTTAATTCTAAAACACGCAGGAAGTTGAGCACCAAGTCCCTGCAGCCCAGGTGGGGCCCTGCAGGGCAGCAAAGGCAACAGACACCCCATCCCAAGGCCCAGCCAGCTCTGGGCCAGAAAGGTTCATGTTCCAGAGCAGAGCCCCCGCTGCTGCAGTAGAGTTTTGACACTTGTTTATTGTGGTTTTAATTCTAAAACACGCAGGAAGTTGAGCACCAAGTCCCTGCAGCCCAGGTGGGGCCCTGCAGGGCAGCAAAGGCAACACGGGAATCAGTCCTGAGAGCAGCTCAGGTGGCCCCGGTACCTGCCCCGAGGG